ATCATGTGTCAAAATCATGTCATCATCATATATCATCATCATCATCATGTATCACCATCATCATGTATCATCAACATCATGTATCATCATCATGTGTTGTCATCATCATCATATTCATTGTCACATTAATACAATCATATTCACATACTTGTAATATTCTTTTGATTTACACTTTTTGATTCCTTTTATCATCTCAAGATGTGTCACACGGAACTCACGTTCATGGTGCAGTGTTGCCATGACAGCATGCTTGGAATGTGTATGAATAACAGCACCAGCACCTAAAAACAAATACAAATCTCTTAAATGTCCCAGGCCCTCATTGCCCAAACAGCACCATAGGAAGCCCAATACATACCTCTCAATGTGTAGGCTGCCATAAACAATGGTGTACATTGGCTTTTCTTCAGCTTTTTACTAAATAAAACAATTTTTTAGAAAAAAATGACAAAATTGCTAGATAGAAAATTAGCTATAGAAAAAAAATATTCCTTTACATCATGCATACTTTTGCACACAAAAACGTTTTCTCTGGCTATAATAACCCAATAATAATTAATAGTGATAAATAATAATGATAAATAGTATCCCAAAAAATATCTTAAAAGGTGTCAGACTATCCATAAGAAAGATTGGGAGGTTGAAATTGCTCTCTTTTTCTTCCTCCCAACCCCCAGGGTTAAACAGCCAATAAATATTATTCCTATTAGCATTATAAACGATCAACACAAATTAATAAAGAAAACCTTCTTACGCTGGTGGTGGTAGGCAGATATCGTTTTCTTCAATATCACAAACAAACAGATCATCTGGCTGTGAAAATATAAACAACAATAACATTATGAGTTGTCAGATCCTTGTGATTATGTCATGTATTAGTTGAAATAAGAACTTTACTGTAAGGTTATGAGCTATTCCAATGTCGAGAAAAAAACTGATTCAATTGACATTACATTGCATTGTGGGAGAGACATAATGACAAGATATGATATGATTTAGCAGTGGCTCTTCATCCACTGAAATTCCAAATGGAATGTTAGAAGTTGACTTTTACATAGTGAAGAAAACTAGATAACCCAGAGAAAAACCCTTGAAGCACAGGAGAGAACCAACAAACAACTCTACTCACATACGATACTGAACCCAGTGTGAACATATACATATTTCCAATATGGCATCTATTTTATCCCTAAACCAGTCCCACTATGCCAACTCAACCCAGTTTTTTCGTAAACTTCAGAATGGCTAACAGAGAGAGTCTGCCAATTAATATATTCAATTTACCTGTATCCTTTCCTTCTGTACTCCAGATGGTGCAATGTATATTTCTTTCCTAGAATATTTATATGTAAAATCAATTAAACCTTAAACTCTTCTAAAGGAATAAAGAGTCATTAAAAATATTGCCATAACCACTGCCGCATAAGCATCATCTCTATTCACTGTATCAGGATTTTCTTCCAAAGGCGATAGGCGATAGGTCACTCCGACTTGGAAATGGTTTCGTTGAATACAAAGAACATTGAATCAGTCTCAGCACGAAGGTCCATACTCTTGACGAGAATAAGAAGAAGAAACACAAGTCATTCCAGCTATTCTTGGATCTTTGAATGACATATATATCTTATCGCTTTTTGCCTATCAACTATTGTCTATCGCCTTTGGCGATGACAACGTTTTTTGAACGTTTTATTCAAATGACTTGGCAATTTTACAAACATGCAGTGTGTAACCCCTGAGACAACAGTTTGATGAATAGAATTGTAATCTTTTTTCTGTGGAAGATTTGAAGATTAGTCTACATACCCATGTTTAATGCTTATTCCTCCACCCGTACCAGTCAACCAACCAAGATCGTAAAACTGTCGACACAGATCTGGAATAAGATTCCTTGGATGATCCTGTACCATGTGATCAAAATAATTATTTATAAAATAACCTGATTTGTTGAATGAATGAATGTTACATTCATTCCAGCCCTTACCCATACTGTACAATTTGAACAGGCCCTGGAAGGGAGATGGTTTTCATGGGGGGAGGTTGACGGAGAGAGATGGTTAAGGGATGGACAATTAGATAATTGATGGGGGTGGTGTAAATGCCCTGAATATTATCAAGCAAGTACTTCACCCATAAAAAAGATTGCAAAATATTTCCTTATGGTAAAGATATCTACATCTACATCATCTACATAATTCATTAGCAAAATCCAAAAGGACATGTAGCAAATTCCAGTGCAAGTGCAAACACAAAATTCTTTTTGGACAGTGCAGGGTTGGTACGAAAAAGTCAATGTCCGGCAACATAAATCCTGCAACCCCCCCCCC